AATACTTGGTTCCCATACATAACAGATAAGAAAATGCCCTAAATAAGCATGCTCCATCACCAATTATTAGTACTGGCATGAGGCACTATATTGCCATTAATATTAAACATATTTGAAATGAAAAAACTAAAATACATTGCCTATCTAAAATTATGTACCTAATTACACTAACAAAATTAATGAATTTGGATATCTAAATTATTTTTCATCCTATTTATGTCATATTTTCGACGTGGTAGAGCCATGCTGCAGCTATATTATGGTTGTAGCACGAATGGGTCGGCTCGACCGGGGAAGGACCACTCTCTCACAGAAAACCAGCGTAAAATAGCAGTTTAACGCTGCCGTGTTTCTTATGGTGAGTGTAGAGAACCGGAGACCCTTTTTACTGGCAAATATGCATTCCATCTTAGTCCTCACGGGTGACAACGCATCTGCATCTTGAGTCTTTATTGAGGATAGATGTAGATGTCTATGGGTCACAGTAACCACTTACCATCAGGTGGACTGTGTGCTCGTTTGTCACCCGATCCTATAAAAAAAATCCTGCAAACAAATGAAAAATAAAACTAAAATAAACCGAGGTCTTTTGACTTTTAAGTAGTAGGTGTGATCGGGCCCAAAATCACTTGGGTTTTCTATCAAGAGATTGGTAGCAGCAGCCCGGAGTCTAGATTTAAGCGGTGTACATCCTTGTTGCTCAGAAAGCACGTAAAGCCATAGGTTCTGCGTCCGATCTCTCTACATTTTCCGTCAGATTACCACCCTATCGGACTATGAGAGTGTAAAGGAATAAAAAGTGCACCTGTGAATGCGCACACACTCCTGATCCATAATCCTGTCCGTCGTTAGTCATTAAAGTATATAAATTATAATGTAGGTACCTACTCTCTTGTTACTTACGTACGTATTATAGAACACTAGTACTCTTTACCGAAAGGTTCGTACAAAAAAAAAAATTAAAAAATGCTCTGAGGAATTGTTCGGACTACCTCCAGCCGCTCAATTTCACCATCGCACATCGCGACAAAACTCGCGATACCATCCATACCATCTGGATGATTGGCGGTCCACCACTGTGCGATTTAGAAGAAGTTTTCTTCCTCGCACAACTTCCTTGTGGAATCGATTACCATCAGCGATTTTTCCGGACCGATACGACTTAGGGACCTTTAAGAAAAGAGCCTACTCCTTTTTAAAAGGCCGGCAACGCATCTGCAATTCCCCTGGTGTTGCAGTTGTTCATGGGCGGCGGTAGTCACTTACCATCAGGTGAGCCGCATGCTCGTTTGCCCCCTCTCCTATAAAAATAAAAATAAATAAACATATTGTTACGAGCTTGGGGTTCGAGATAATTAAAAACTGCCGATTGAATTACCAAAATTGACACTTTAATTACACAACACTAACTAAAACCACACTAATAATAAAACACAATTGTACTACTGATCACTTAAGTTCGCAGTTGTTCGCTTCGAAGTATTCTCTTGTATCGCCTATTCAATACTGTCTCGGTCATGGTCTATACCGGCCTTATATAGGGCCTCAGATAGTTTCCAGAAGCTTCTAATGTAGCGACATCTAGAATGTTCGAGTACATATCGGTCCCGAAATTTCTAGAAGGATCTTGACTCTCCTAGTTCTGCTACTCGACACTAGAGGGCGCTGATATTAACTAGTGTTGCCATGTATAAGACATTAATAGTGGCGCGCAACACTGCCCCCTCCTAAGACATGCTCGTCCCGAGCATTATTGGTCCCATAATAACGCGCCAGTCGATCCACATGGACAATCTTAGGAGTACCTCTTCTAACATTAGGCAGCACCTGCCAGTTTCCCTGCTGCTGCTGGGCGATGCTGTTAGCCACACTACCCTCTCGAGATCGATCACCTTCCCTTTCTACAGTTCGTTTAGGGCAGCTGGATCGAAGATGGCTCCTTTTCCCACAGCCGTAGCACCTAGGGCCGTATCCTTTATTGCGGCTGCGAACTGTAGCCGCTGCAACCTCCCTGACGCGACAGGAACGATGATCACCTCCAGTGCATGGGCCAACGCGTCCTTAAACGTCTCGTGGTGATGAATGTCTGCACCAGGTTCCCTACAATGACTGCAGGTACAGACTGGTATGCTTTTCGAACCAGCTTCTCCACCTCAAGGGCCCACTGCTGCAGGTTTTCGTTGCTGCGTTGCACGCGATCTTTGAGCTTCACACGAAAGACGTGTTCCAGGTGAGTGTCGCCATATCTCGTCTCCGATGCCTAAAGGAGCTGCTCGTAAGTCACTTCCTTACCGAGAGTTTCCAGAACAGTTAAGGCCTGGTCGCGTAGGCATAGGGTGAGAGCAGTCATGGCCTGACTTTTATTCCAGCCGTTCGCCTTCATAACAGCCTCGAACTGGATTTTGTAGGCCGACCAGGAAGAAGTCCCGTCGAACGGCGGCACTTTGAATAATCCACCTAGCGAAGGTGTTGTAGCTACCACGGGAGCTGTAATTCCATCTCCATGTTTGAGGTCGTCCAACGTTTTCTTCACGTCAGCCATCACGTTGTCAACCCGATTGTACACTTGGTCAATTCGGGTTTCAGCTTCCGACAGGTGGTTGTCATATTGAGCAACCCTATCCTTCACCTCCTTTATCTCTTTCCCGAATGTAGCGTAAAGGTCCTTCATGAGGAGCTTCGGCTCTTCCTTGTAGCGTTTGAGCTGCTCTTCCAACCGTCGGGTCTGTTCCTCCTGTCGGCTGGCCTGTTCCTCCTGTCGGCGGGCCTGTTCCTCCTGTCGGCGAGCCTGATCCTGCAGCATCATCATCAGAGTAACTGATGCTAAGTGGTTGCTGTGGCCCATAGACATCTACATCTAACAGATTACGAATCAAAATGCAGATACGTTACCACCCGTGAGGACTAAGATGGAATGCCTCGTTTCCAGTAAAAAGGGTCTCCGGTTCTCTACACTCACCATACGGAACACAGCAGCGTTAATCTGCTATTTTACGCTGGTATTCTGTGAGAGCGTGGTCCTTCCCCGGTCGAGCCGACCCAATCGTGCTACAACCATAATATAGCTGCAGCATGGCTCTACTACGTATAGTTACTCTCCAAATTTCAGATTTCTACGTCAAGCAGTTTGGACTGTGCGTTTGAGTCAGTCACTCAGGACGTCTTATAATATAAAGAGGATATAATAGATAAACAGTAAACAGTGACACCTGTCGGCAAATGGAAGAACTAAATATGCGACTAATCTTTGGTAATATATAAAAATTATGTGTCACATTGTTTGTTCGCGATGAACTCCTCAACTACAGAACTGATTTAAAAAAATTGCTCACTGTCCGAAGTATAGTCTAACTTGAGAGATAGGATAGTTTTTATCCCGATAAGTGACCTTCAATATTTTTTTATTGCGATTTTACGGATTTTTTTGTAGGATAAAGGATGGTTGGTAAAGGTAATTTTAAGAATTTCCTCAGCAAACATTAATATGAATTAATAATATTCACTTCATTAGTAAATCGTAATTTGAAAATTTAAGTAATGTGAAAACCATGAAGTATTTGCTTCATGGTGAAACTCCTCTCAGAAATATGAGAATGTCTTTACTCATCCTTGGGCCATATATTGGCTGTAACTTTTAATTTTTAAACGAACTCATTACTCTTTTTGCACTTATAACAGATATAAGCTATTAAATAAACTCTGTATCACAACGCATTTACAGTAAATATTATACTATATGAAAGTTCATATTAGTATATAATTAATTTGCATACGAGCAACTATGAAAATACATCTGAAGAACAGGAACAACCTGCTTCTTATTCAGATGTAGGTAAAAAAATTGTGTTTATTTGATCTACTAAAAAATATGACTCGCGTCTAATAAAACCATACCGTGCTTTATAAATACCTGTAGCGCCATCTATGATGAAGAGATAGTAATTAATTTATTATTATTACACTAAAATAAAAACTATGATAATTAGAAAATAACGGGTAGGAATTACGTACAAACAACTCAAAATCGGATAGTATCATTTTTCAATCTTCTACAATGTCAATTTTAAGGCTTTTTGTAGCTGCGAAAGGGAAAATTATACCTACTGCCCAGCTCCGATGATAGATAGCGTGATGATATATACATAACTCCAACGCTTCGGCCTCTGTACAATACTATAGTGAAAGTCTCATCCAACGTTTACAGGTTTTTGCGTGATGCGTGTTCAGACAGACAGACAGACGTTTCCAAAAAAAATTGTTTTAGGCATCTGTATCGTACTAAATCTATGGATAATATAGTGTACCCCAATTCAAATTTCAAAGTAAAATTCAATGTACAGTTATCGACGTGTTACAGTTTTATTATAGTACTAGCTGTTCGCCGTGCATTCGCCTGCGTGGAATTTATTGCGATTGGATTTCATGGGTTCTAATTTATTTGCGTGGAATCCTAATTTTTTTCCTAAAATAAAAGTAGCCTAAGTTACTCCTTGTAACATCAGCTATCTGCCAGTGAAAGTCCAATCCAAATCGCTTCACAGGTTTTTGCGTGATGCGTGTCCAGACAGACGTCGTATTAGAGTTTTACTATAGTGATAGATAGATAGAAGATAAACGTAATACATACTTTAATTTACACTTTTTGTCAAATAGCACAGACTCCATTTTTTATTATATCTCATATTTTTAAGAGAATTGGGAGTGTCGGTTTTTGAATTATTTTATTATACAAGAGGGGCAAACGAGCCCACATTAATTCCACTACCCTCGTCGAGTTTTAAATGTTTTGTATTTATATGTAATATCCATTTAACTACCTATTAAAAGTCACATCGGTTCAGAAAAACCGCTAGTGATAATAGATTTCGAAACGTGATTTTTATTGACAAAAAAGGACCAGTATAGTATGAAGCAACCCTAATACAACATCATTTGAATACTATTGAAGACGAAGACACAGCAGGTTGTGGGTTTCATTATAACTAAGAAATAGACTAGTAGTAATTTATTTATATTTATTTAATAAAACTTTAAAATTACCAAAGTCGCAGAATATTATATTTAGGCTTAAATCTAAAGTACTTTGAACTTAGGTGGTCCATAAGTCTCGTGGGGAATACCCTGACTAGTTGAAATTGCATTTGCATCGTAGCCCGTGAGAGTGCTGGCGGTGGTAGAAAGAGTAGATAATCCTGAGGAGCTGTCGTACCCATTATCGGTAACTCCGCCGTCAATTGTCGAAATGCTCACACTTTGACCCTTAGAACCATCATAAGATGATCCAAAAGCACTACTAGAGGAGGTTCCAGTTGAGGATCCATGGTTTCCGGTCCCAGTAGAGCCCGATGCAAATGTACTAGATCCAGATAGTCCAGAGCCAAATGTGCTTGAGGTAGATTCAGAACCAAACGTGCTTGAGCCTGATGAACCAGATCCGAAAATGTTTGTACCGCTTGATTCAGAACTGTGTGTGCTTGAACTACTTGATCCACCTGAACCAAAAGTGGAGGATCCAAATGCATTGGACGAACCCAGCGATGATGAACCTTTGTTTCCAGACAAACTAAAACTTTCTGCGTAAGTCGGTCCTGATGAACTGCTTCCTTGGTTTGAGGTTGTGTAAACTGTAGAGCCATCTGAATAGCTTGAGTATCCAGATCCCACATTACTTCCTTTATTTAAGTCAGATACAATGTTATTAATAACTGACTGGGAATCTTGTTTGTTATTGTATTTAATGAAATATACTTCCGGTTTCGTTGGAGGCTTCTGTTCAAGTTTAGGTAAGACGATTTTCTGTGCCTCTTCGGGCTTCTTGACAAGAACGTAGACAAGAGTCTTTTCTTCGTTTTGTTGTGGTACTGGGATGATTTGTGGAGGCTGCGCTGGTGTGGATGGTGCCTTAATGAAGATGATTTTGTAGTGTTTTTGTGATGGTGGCAAAACTATGGGCTGGCGAGGTTTAGGAGTTTCAGGTTCTTCGGGAGCGGCGTGAACATAGTAATGCTTAAACACTTGTGCTGGCTGCTCTTGAATTACGTTGTAATATTGCTGGTATTTCTCGACAGCCGATGACTGGTATTGGCCCGACGTTTGGTACTGATTGAAAGCAGAATAATCGCCACTAGTCTGATAGTTTGGTTGTAGAAAATTGGTGTATTGGTAGTAGGTGTTGTCAGGTACGGTTGCAGCCGAGCTTGCAACAGTTTGGAATCCTGTGTAACCGGTGTTTTGCCCGCTCGTTGAGCTCAACCCACCGTGAGTGTTATATCCGGTGTAGTAGTTGGAACCAGTTCCAATGCTACCCGAGTGTTGGTTATTATAGTTGTTATTGTTCGTGTTTCCAGTTAGGCCACTGTTATAGATAGAGCTGGCCGTGCTGCTTTGGTACGCTGGTACACCGTACGAGGTCTGAGGTACCTTATAATGGTACCCGAGACCGACATCCCCCGCTACAACTCCAACAGCAATCGCAAAAATCTGTAACAATAGAAAATATATTGTATTAAGCGTTTTATTTTGTTCATAGAGTCAGAATAACACAGAAATTTAGCTTTTAAAAAGAGTGTTTTTATGTAAAATTTATATCCCAATTTATGGTATTCATTTATCTTAACCCTCTGATTAAAAAGTTTATAATTAGGCTCAGCGTTTTTTTTTTATAGAATAATGGTTAAAATTTTACACCTGATAGTAAATGGATGATGCGTTGTCACCCCTGAAGACTAAGATGGAATGTTCCGTTACAAGTAAAATAGTTTAGAGTCTGTTTCAAAAAAGAAGTTCCGTGGAAAACCAGAGAAATAAAATGAAACGAAAAGTATTGAATTTGACAGCAAATGTCTAATTTCGCGAAGACTGTGGCGTTACGTCTAAGGGTCTTCTTCTTCGTGACAAAGAATCTCCTTTAAGCCGGAGACTATCAACGAACCATATTTGTAACCGACTTCAAATAGGAAGAGGTACTCAATTCGAATGTATTTAAAAAAATTGTGTTAGCTCAAAACTTTTTTCTGGGTGAACTAATTTTGATTATTCTTTTTTATTTGAAAACTGGTGTTTGATCAATTTGATCAAAGAAGGATATGGGATTCGAACTCGCGGCTTGTAGCGATGCAACATTACTGGGTAAGGGTTTACCTCGATATTTACCCAGTATATAGCAGTGACCACAATTTGTTAGTCATCATCACTGGTATGCGTATTTTAGATCCGGCATACACCGCCATCTAACGAAGATACATTTTAGGAATATTTTAAGCATTTTGCTTAACTCCACTTTCTTGCATTTCCCCTTTAAACTCAAGCGGTCTTATTTATTACACAAGTGGTAAAATTAAAAAATTGTACAACCGACTTCAATATAAATTGTTAAGAATAACTCAAAAACTACTGGTCAGATCTTGATCAAATTTATATGGTTTTTACATTTGAATCACCGGCTTTCAAATAAAGAATCATCAAAATCGGTTCACCTAGACAAAAGTTCTACGGTAACACAAAAAAAAAATACTGTCGAATTGAGTACTTCCTACTTTTTGATGTTGGTAAAAAAACGCAGTGTTCCATTTGAAGACAAAGAGGCATTTAATTTTGTAGTATTAAATAATTAAGGGCGGATTTTTATTTTTTAAACATAATGGAGTAAAATGTGATGAAAAACATCTTTAATAGATAGACAATGTTGCAAGTTTATAGACGACGCTTTTGCGAACATTCCAGTTGTTTATATGCTTCTAGAATAGACCTATGATTTTATTATGAATTCTAAATTTACCTTTCGACAGAATTAGTTTTTTGTAGAACTAAAATCCCTATACTCGTAATATTGGTGTAGGTCTTAATATGAACATTCTAAAGACATGTCAGTTTTAATTTGTTACGTAACTTTAGTATTTTTGTAATTATTTATATACAACATTAAAAACTATATAAAAAAACTAAAACTAGAAACTTAATTATCATATAGTCCTACTCCCTGCGGTATCGTGCCAAGAACGCTGGTTGCGTTTCCCCGCTGAATGGCTATACTTAGCCTTTGAGCGAGAAAAGAACTAGCCCTCACAAAGGTGATACTTTGAATATGAATAATAAAATTGAATTTGAATTAAAACCAAATAAATTAATAAATGCCATTAATGGTAAATAAAAATATTTAATTTAATTATATAACATTAAATTAATATTGTCAATGAAAATTATCGTTTTAATTAATTTAAAAGTAAGAAATCAATTGCCGCGCGCTGGAGACGTGAGAGAATCCATCATTTAATTTCGTCCCGTGAGTTTTGAACGACGAGTCTATGGGAAAGGCCACAAAGATTTCGTGGCCTGTCGCTGTCGGAACAAATGATACTTATTTTACTATTTCGTAAATGACAGGTGTAATTTGTACGCTGTGTGGTGACCAAGTAAGGGAATTCAAGAATTATGTTCCACTCGGCCAGGACCACGCTCTCACAGAATACCATCGTAAAATAGCAGCTTAATACTGCCGTGTTTCGTACGGTGATGGTAGATAACCGGAAGTCCTTTTTACTAGAAACGAGACATTCGTTATGTACAACGCATCTGCTTTTTGATTCTTAATTGAAGATAAATGTAGATGTCTACATGGGCCTTAGCGTCCACTTTCCATCAAGTGGACTGTGTGCTCGTTTGCCATCTTTATTCTAAAAAAACATGCGTGAATGTCGTGGAACACCCGGTTGGAACGTAGTTCCTTTCGTAGTATATTATTATTGATAAACGTATTTGCGTGATTTCAAATAATATTTCTTTCAAGGCAAGATAAGAAAAAGTGCGAGGGAGATAGATATTATTCCATTTCACTTCCTTATAGCCCCCAAGGTCGTGACGGAAAACTCTTACACTTTTTTTTTTGCCTAGGCACTATCCGTCAAGTCCGTACCGTGCGAATAGGAACTTCGTTCTTTAAAATGCCAGAAAAACTTATAGCTTTAAATGGATGGCGCTATAATAATCTCGTAAACTTAAAATACCGCGACTCACGACAGGTAGCAGTGTTAATGTTGCGAGGCGTCCGGAACTGCAGTCGTCAATTGCCTGCCAGGTGTAAAATTAAGCCAAATCCTCCCTAAAACTAAAGGGCCATATGTCCTGCAGGAGACTTTTAAGGGTTGATGAAGAAAGAGAAGAAAAAGAAGATACACTAACTGGCGACGTGAAGCTGGGTTAAAAATGTCAATTTACCGTGCAGTGGCGGTGTAAGAATATCCACTACATACCATCTCGCGGGTGTTGTAAGCAGGGCCGGATTAACCATGTTGGGGCCCTTAGGCAATGGAATTCTCGGGGCCCCTTTCCAGCCAGCATAAAGGGATGTAACGTATCCATATTATTAGTTCTACTACTCGATACTAGATGGTTTTATTTTGTAAGTATGAAGTATTTCATCAACTGACAGTATGCGTCGCTAAAACGTAATAATTAAATACTCAGTGACAATAACAGTATTGTCACTGAGGTTATAAATTTTCCAATAAAAATTTCTCTGTATGAAACATTTTCCATTATATTTGTGCGTGTACGGGGCCCCTACCCGATGCGGAGCCCGTAGGCAGTTGCCTACTCGGCCTAAAGGTTAATCAAGCCCTGGTTGTGAGAGGCGAGAAAGGGAAACAAATCTTTAGATGGGCAGCAGCGTCTTCCTAATAACGGCTAAAAATGAAAAAACCGCTTACCAAGTGTGACAACTGACGAATACAAAGAAGATAAACAGATTGACGACAGGAAACAGCGTTAAAAGTGTAAAACATCTAGTACTGGCCCTTTAATTCCTTAAGAAGCTAGTATGTGGTTACTATTTTATACGTTTCTTTTTTTGAAAACGATATTTCTTTTTTATTATTTAATAGTTTAACGGATTAGTAAGCTGAGGTGGCAGTGGGCCGGCCATACAACTCGAAGAACCGACAACCGATGGGGAAGTAAGGTTCTCGAGTGGCAGCCTCGTACAAATGAGGCCAATGTTCAGCAGTGGGCTTATGAAAGGCTGTAATGATGATGATGATATTTTAAGACTAAGAATAGACATATTAGCCTATATTTTTAACGATATTAATTCTTCTTTACTTGACTAAAAAAATATTTCCCAAAAGTATATTATCCTATTCATCATTAACTTTATCTTAACTAAAAATCCTTGAATCATTTAGGAATACAAATAGAAGGTCGAGGTTAGCTGGTACGTCTACATATTAGTCTAAGCTCATAATGGCATCATGTGTTAATAAATCATACATTTTATTACTATAGCAGTGGACGTAATTAAACGTCAACGCTATTATACAATCAGAAAGCCGATGGATGCAGGTAATTTAAGATCGTGTATCGGGGCAACTTATGGGGAAACTTGTTGGTTTTAATAAATGAGAAAAATGATTTTCTCTATGATGAACAAAAAATGTCACCAGCAGATTGTTCCGTATCTAATAAAGATATTAAATAAAATTCCAAACTGAACTTGCTATTGTCCGGATGTAATTTATTAGTAACGTCTTAGATTAAAAATTTATCGTACGGCGCTGGCCACGGATTCATAATATTCATTCACCTTCATTTATAAAGATACATTATTTATTAGAAAATTAAATGAAAAACAAAACTCATTTGTCATAAATTACACCGAAATTCATCTCATTTCTGGCAGGGAGGAAATGTCCGCCGAGCTATACCAATGAGTGTTGGCGAAATTAATCTTTCAAATATTTTTTTTCTCAGACATGCGGGTTTCCTCAAGATGTTTTCCTTCACCGCCGAGCGCTAGGTGATACATAATACTACAAGCTTATTATTGGATACTAATATGAAAATATCGCCTTGAATTAACTTATAGGAGATGCAATAGTAGAAACTAACACTATTATTAAAAAAAAATACACTCATTTGTTTATAAACTACACAGAACCTCTTCTACAGTACATCATTATATATTATAACAAGCTTATTATTGGATACTAATGTGAAAACATCGCCTTAAATTAACTGATAAGATATTCAATACAGATAATAAACTACCGTCTCAAAAGCAATTAACGCTAATAAGATTGATAGAACATGTTTATATATGTGATCACGTTCGTTCGCTTGTTGATCATGAAAGTGGGGAGGATCTCGTTATAGTGAAAAAATGTACACGTTACCGAGTGACGTTTTTCGTACCGCGGCAAGCTGTTGTTAGTTACATAACAGAGCTTGCCTCTCGTTGACCGTGTTGCGCAAGACTTAGTGACCATGACTCTTAGGAGCAATGAACCCTAACCACTTTCTTACAAGGCCGTTCGCGGAGAAGAATTTAGTGGTGTGGACACTAAATCAAAAACTTTACAAATGGCGTACCGGAATAATGATACGCGATGGACAATTTATTGGATGGTGTTGCGCGGATAGCCACGATTTATCGATACCGTCAAATTAAATTACTTTAATTTTATCGATATTTGTCTTGATAAAAATCA